AAAAAAAAAAAAAAAAAACTCCCAGAAAAAGAAATGATAGGGGGGAAGGAAAGAAGGGTTGGTGAGAAAGAGGAAGTAAACCACATAGAATACATATTTCCCGAGCCAAAAGGACAAAACAATTCGGCTAACGTATATTAACCTTTATTCTATGACAGAGACATAAGTAATTTTGTGAGTTCATATGACCTGTACAAAAGACAAAATAAGATATTGCACTAAGTTTAGATATGGGATATTTTGATGTAATATTAGCTAAACAGATAAATATATACAATTTAAGGAATTAAGGCAAAACCAGATGATACTTCCAAACACAACAGAAGGCTTGAAAAATAGGTATAATTAAAAACAGGGGCATCCCATCTCCAGTTAATAAAGTGGTCAGGTCTAAGGGAAAAAAATCCCTCAGGTTTTTAATAAAGTGGTTATTATCAATCATGGTAATTCAAGCTGAGCAAGAAAGTATAAGATTTCCCAGGGAAGAGGACGATCTGGTGGAGGTTCTGGGGGCTGAGCACTTAGAACTCGGGGAAGCAACTTTTTTCCTCGTCAGATTTATGATCTATTCTTCCTATTAGAAAATATAATTTGGAAAATATGACTCTTTCACATATATAATTAAAATACAACTATGAAGCATTCTTTTTTGTTAAGGGAAGTCATGTTGGTGATCTCACAGGGTAAATTTGCGGGCAAGCCATTCGTTACCCTATTGGTAGAGAAGACACAAAGCCAGTCACTGAAAAAAGCAATTCCCAGTTACCTTAAGAGAACAAAAGAGACGAGTTCCAAAGGAATAAAAACAAGTGTAATCAATATATCAACACAGCATACAATTCTTTGGCAGTATCATACTAACCGTTGATTGCAGTCAGAACTTGAGAGTTTTCTAATTCTTAAGACCCGGTCGCCAGTCTTTTAGAAACAAAGAAAGAAAACGCCACATCTGCAACGAATTCAGTGATTCCAGGAAATTAAATTCAGAATGAACCTTGCAGACAGCTGTTAAACTGTTAACACTTGAGCACAGATAGGTATTGTCTGCTGTGAGTCCCCATCCAAGTATACTGAAACACACACACACACACAAATCATCTGCGAGACTGTGTATCAGTTCGGACAGGCCTAGGATCCTTAAAGAGAATCCATATTCACCCATGAGAAACCAATAAAAGACGTCAATCCGATGATGAGGAAGTGATCTTCCAACAACGCAGGGGTGGGCCTCCCCTCCCCTGGATCAACATCGCGGAGAGATCAAATCCTATAGGGGAAACACCAGAAAGCCAGAGAACGTGGAATACTGCCAGCCTCCAACCAAGTTACCTTTCTCCAGTTTTAGGTAAACTTTATCCTCCTTATCCAGGTAGAGGAGCACCCCATTAGTGGCAGCTTCGCGGGTAACATCTTTGTCCCCAGCAAAGGCAGATATTACCGGCTTTCCATTCAACATCAGGTTAACCTACAAGAAGAAAAAAAAAAACCAAATCACTGAAAACATCTGCTGGGGGCTAATGAAAAATGCCTAAGAGGAAAGACCTCATAAACCAGCTGATGTTCAGTAAATTCATCCTGGCTGTGGCAGCTACGCACTTAGTAGGTCCACTGAAATGATTTTTTTTTTTT